ACACCCTCAAGAAATCCTCTTACACTGAGGACCTGAGGGAGTTTTTCAGGCAACTCAGAAACCAAGGTTCTTCAAGTGACCTCTACTAATAGCCTCCAGGCAAAAAAGCTAGAGGATAACTACCATTCCCTGGGCTAGCAACACTAACCAGAAAAGCTAAGACTTGACAGTGGTGTTTAAAGTGGGTCCTCCTTGGATCATCCAAACCCAGGAGAGGGAGCCACAAACAGCAGAACACCAACACCCACAGGGAAAATTTGGCAGAATCCAAAGCCCATTGTGATGGCCAAAATGGTGAAAAACAGAAACAAAAGCCAAATGAAAGAACAAGAGACCCCTACCAAAGATGATATAAATGAGGTGCAGTTAAGCAAGTTAACAGAACTAGAATTTAGAGCCATGATGTTGAGGAAGCTCAACAGCATGTGTAAGGACATGAACACCATGAGTAAAGACATAGAAATGTTGAAAATCAACCAGTTGGAAATTAAAAACCACCAAGAAGAAATGAAGAATGACATATCAGAAATGAAAAACACATTGGAAGGTCTAAAAAGCAGAGTGGGGGAAGATGAGGACCGAATCAGTGAATTAGAAGACAAGGTAGAAAAGATAAACCAATCAGAAAACCAAAAGGAAAAAACTATTAAAAAACAGGAAGACAGCGTAAGAGAACTGTAGGACAACTGGAAACGGAATAATATTCGCATCATAGGAGTCCCTGAAGAAGAAAATAAGCAAGGGTTAGAGAATATTTTCAAAGAAATAGTGACAGAAAATTTCCTTAATTTGGTGAAGGAAGAAAGCATTCAAGTTCAAGAAGCACAGAGAGCTCCAAGTAAGAAGAACCCAAACAGGCCCACACAAAGACACATAGTAATCAAACTGCCAAAAATTAAAGACAAAGATAGAATCCTAAAAGCAGAAAGAGATAAGCCACAGGTTACCTACAAAGGAAACCCCATAAGGCTCTCAGCTGACTTCTCACAAGAAACACTACAGTCCAGAAGAGACTGGCATGAAGTAATCAAGGTCATGAAAAACAAGGATCTGAATCCAAGACTACTCTACCCAGCAAGGCTATCATTCAAAATAGAAGGTCAAATAAAGAGATTCCCAGACAAAAAAAAAAAGGCTAAGGGAATACATTAGCACCAAAACCCAGCACTGCAAGAAATGTTAAAAGGACTGCTGTAACTAGCAGGAGAAATGGGAAGAAAAATAAAACCACACTAAACAAAAATGGCAATAAATAAGTACATATCAATAATCACCTTAAATGTAAATGGACTGAATGCTTTGATAAAAAGACACAGAGTAGCTGATTGGATAAGAAAGCATGACTCATCTATATGTTGTTTACAAGAGACCCACCTTACAACAAATGACTCACATAGGTTGAAAGTGAAGGGATGGAAAAAAATCTTCCAAGCAAACGAAAAGGAAAAAAAAGCTGGGGTAGCAATTCTCATATCTGATAAAATAGATTTCAAAATGAAGGCCATAACTAGAGACAAAGAAGGCCACTACATAATATTGAAAGGATCTATCCAACAGGAAGATATAACCTTGATAATATAGGAGCACCCAATATAGGAGCACCAAAATATATTAAAAATCTTCTGGAGGACTTCAAAGGAGAAATCAATAGCAATACAATCATAGCAGGGGACTTCAACACCCCGCTGACATCACTGGATAGATCCTCTAGATGAAAAATTAGAAAGGAAACAGAGACTCTAAATGAGCCCTAGACCAAATGGATTTAACAGATATCTACAGAGAACTACACCCCAAAACTACAGAATTCACATTCTTCTCAAGTGCACATGAGACATTCTCAAAGATAGACCACATATTAGGGCACAAACTAACTCTATACAAGTTCAAGAAGACTGAAATCATATCAAGCATCTTCTCAGATCACAATGGCATGTGTCAGCTCATGATCTGCAATGCTACTTCTGCTGCTGCTGCTGCTGCTGCTGCCGCCAGGGGTTGCTATCAGCTCCCAATCCTCTGTGCTGTTGGTAGCTGAGGATGCTCAGCTCCAGGGACTTTGCTGCTGCTGGGGGAGGGGCTCTACTCCCACCAGTTGCTGCTGCTGTGGAGGATAGTGCTCAGTTCCCCATTGGTTGCGGCTACCACAGCAGGCACCTTGATAGCTCCACTACTGTGCACTGGACTGCATTGACACAGTGGGTTCCACTGATCCAATTGTGCAAGGTGCACTGGTGGATTTAGGTTGCTCAACCCTAGCTGCTCCCACTGCCTCCTCCCAAAGAAGACCAGGGATCTTCCAAAATGGCAGGGCCTTCCAGCCTCTCAGGGAGAAGCGCCCTGTCAAGCCTCTTACTGCACTAATTGGCTGCTCCCCATCCACAGCACAGGAGCCCTCTGCACCATGTTTCTGCACTGCTCAAGGTTGCTTATCCACACTCACATCCACTCACACTCTCCCTCACACTTGCTCACACTCTCATATACTCATCCTCACTCAGATCCTGCCCACCAACATCTTTTATTTTTTTAGGTTTCTCCCTACATTTCTTAATTCATTTTTGTACGTGGATCATATTGAAAGTGAGGGTTTAAAACATGAGCTACCCATTTTTTAAAGTAAATAAAAATTAAATCATCAAAATACTATAGTAGAAGGATCACTGAAATATAAGAATGAAGTTTGTATAAAGTATACTAATGTTCTCTTGCTACTTGGTTTAAGTTAATTCCAATATATTAACTGCCTTCTATATGAAGTCATTATAGAGTAAAGAATACAACAAAACTTTAAGTTGATTTACTTGTTGACCAGTACCCATCCTGTAACTTATGTGGCTTTTAAGCAAATAATTAGACTAAGTCTCAGTTTTCTCATCTACAAAATAGGAAAAATATCCATCCCCTTCATAAAGTTGTGAGGATTAAATAATACTAAATAAAGTGCCTAATTCAACTCTCCGGCTTATAGTAAGAACCTAACAAATCTGTGATGATATTACTGACATCACTTGAAGTTTGGCCACTTCATTAATTTTATATCTGATGTAGAGTCATTTAGTCTCTGTACTTCAAGGGATTTTTTTTTAAGCACATAAAATGGTCCAACTGCTGTTTCTCAGTGGTTAGAGTTGACCCATTCACCAAGAGGTCACCAGTTCGATTCCCTGGGATACATGCCCAGGTTGTAGGCCTGATCACCAGTGGGGGGCATGCAAGAGGTGGCCTATTGATGTTCACTCTCATCGATGTTTCTATCTCTCTCCCTCTCACTTCCTCTCTCTCTAAAATCAATAAAGAAAAAAAATTTTTAATAAATAAATAAAAAGTACATAAAATGGAAAGATTTGCCCTACTCACATGACTTCTTTGAAAATTACATAAAATATGTATCCAATGTACTATAGAAATGTAAAAGATAGCTATATATTTGTTAGACTATAAAAATTAAGATAAAACATGCCTTACACACATCACAAGAGTTTTTTAAGAAACTGGAGAATATGTATGAAAGAATTTAAAATAGGCCCTGGCTCAGCGGTTAGAGCATCGGCCTGCGGTCCAGAGAGACCCGGGTTCAGTTCCCGCTAAGGGCATGTACCTCAGTTGCAGTTTGTCCCCGGCCCTGGTTGGTCATGCGGGTGGCAGCCACTCGATGTGTCCCTTTCATGTCGATGTTTCTCTCTCTCTCTCTTCCTCTCTCTTCCTCTCCCTCCCTCCCACTCTATCTATACAAAAAATGGAAAAATGTCCTCGGGTGAGGATAAAAAAGAAAAAAAAAAAAGAATTTAAAATAGTATGAATCTAATAACAAATATTATAAATATTACAAATCTAAATATTTATTAACACAGATTCTAAAGCTAGAATGCCTGGATTCAAAACTCAGGTCTGCCACAAACTAGTTATCTGAGCATGGATAATTATCCTCTTTAACTCAGTTTTTCATCTGTAAAAATGGAAATAATAGAAGCTGCCCTAAAAAGATATTTTGAGAATCAAATGAGTAAACATATGTAGTGTTTGAGATAGTTTCTAATACGTAGTAAGTACAATGTAAATATTGCTTTTCTTATCATCTTAATACTAGATTCTGGGACACATAAGCAAACACCTCGTCATAGCATACTTCACAATAGTTGTTCAAATTGAAAATAAGCCCAGAGAGTAATTTTCATATTGTTTATATATCTGTATAAATTATATATCTGATTTAATAAACATATTAAAATTTAATGTATTGTATATTTAATTTAATAAATTGTATTTTACATGTGTTTAAAATTTTTTATATATGTAATTCATTTTGAACTTATTGGTGATATAAAATGTGTGAGTTTGAGCTATTTTAGAATGTAAGAGTTAACCTTTAGGTGGTGCTTAGAAGGAACTATGAAAAGAGTATGTTTTCAAAAATGAATGCCTTACTTTTATATTTCACTTTTGATTTTTCTTCAGTTAGGAGTAGGTCTTACTTAGCATAGGCTCTTTCACAAATGAAAAAAAAACACTGTAGACATAATGATTTCCATTACAAAGATGAGCAAGATAACTCTAAACATGAAGTAATTTGTCCAAGATCACACAAATATCATATATTTCATATGAAGCTCCAACTAGGACTTATTCTAAGTTTTTCCACAACATTAAACTACTCTGAAAGCAAAACTAATTATTCTGTCTAAAAATGAAGTCCACTTGTTTGACCTACAGACATATTTTTAAAGATCCTTAGTAAGTGCATTCAGAAAACACACAGCAGCCTAAGGAGAATCCCTTAGATAATGTATCTTGCAGATTGAATTTGTTATCCTTGACTGTTCTTAATAATACATCTCCCTCCATACTCCTCTTACCCTGAAAATTTTGTGTTTATATTTCATAGTACTCGGTCCATTTATAGCTAATTTGTGCTATAAGTAAACACTATATTTGAGCTTCAAATTTTTAAAACGAAATAAACATGATCAATAAATATATACTATTATTTAAAAACTTACATAGCTTCTGGATTCATTACACAGATGGCTCCTGAACATTGACATTTCTTTGGGTTATCATATGATATTCCCATACTGAGTCCCAGCATCTGCGTGACAATTACTGAAAATGCCTCCAAAGTTATCGCCTCTGAATACTACATTAACAAAAAAATTTTCAAACAAAAGGCAATTCATTGAAGGGTGTTAAAAATAATATTTTTCTAATTATGAACACATTAACTGTTCTATCAAATACTTAAGAATAGGTAAATACAGATGATTGGACAGGTGAAAAGTTGAAGTTCTTAGGACATTTTATTGAGATATAAGCATATTGAGTCTATGCCAAGCTTTACCATATTTAAAATTTGAATAACTAACATAAGAAGTTGCTACCATAAATATATAAAAGGGCTGTTTTAACATTAAATTTTGCATTATTATTTTGGCTATATAAACCATGATCTTCAATTTATCTAATTTCTTACAACAGCTCTCATACACACTTAAATAGTCCACATGATATTCCACCTCCCAGCTCATGAAGTGCCCACATAACAAAATACAGAGTTTAAGTGTGCTGTCTGCTTCATGCTAGTATTCTCAATGACACAGCAACTGGTATCAAGAAAAACCACATTCTTGGATTAGGCTTCTAATATATTTATGAAGTGCACAGATAACTTCCTTGCAAGGAGAATGGGACACAAGGTGTTGTTGGTCTTTTTTATGTTATTTCTGGTGGGTATAAGATACTATTTCATTAAGTTTTAACTTGCATTTTATATATTTTTGACTGGCTATCCTTTCTTTGTGAAGTGTTTATTCAAGTATCTTGTCCATTTTCTATTGCATTAGCCTTTTTATTGATTTGTGGAAGCATTTTATATATTCTGTACATCAGTCATTGTTAGTCATGCATTGCAAATACTTTCCCTACTCTGTGGCTTGTTTTTTGACTCTCTTAATGTCTTTTCATGAACAAAATTTCATTAATTTGTGGTGGTCCAATTCATACAATGTTTCCTTTGTGATCATTGTTTTCTGTGTCCACCTTCAAAAAATATTTTCCTATTCCCATAGTCATGAAGCTATGTTCCCTTTTTGCCTTTCGGGCTTTATTGTTTAATTTTATATATAGATCTACAATCTACCTAAAGTTTATCTTTTGAATAGCAATGAAATTACATTTATCAAAAAGATCATCCACTGTAATCAGATTTTTGATGCTGATCATTTTGCAGTGCATACTGCTGTCAAATAATGTTGTGCACCTGAAACTTACAGTATAATGTTATACATGATATTAGCTCAATTTTAAAATAAAAAAGATCATGCACTAGCAAGTTCACTATAATCATTTTTTTAAAAAAAATAAGTATATGCTTATCATTTTTCTGTTTCAAAATTCTCTATTTTATTGGTCTATTCATTTGTCTACCTCTGTCTTAATCACTGATGCTTTATGATAAATAGGTTTTACTATCAAATTATCTTAGTTGTTCTTAATTCTTTGCATCACTATAAAAAATGTAGTTTTAGCCTGTCAATTTTACACACACACAAACATGCTAGTATTTTTACTGGGGACTGCATTCACCCTGTAAATCAATTTGGGGGAGGGGGACAGGGTTCAGTATCTTTATAATATTGTCTACCAGTCCAGGAACTTAGGCACTGTCTCTAATAATGTTTTAGTTTCTTTGCAGAGGTCTTACATCTTTTGATAGCTTTTTATTCCCAAATTTCTTGATTTTTTTTATGTTAGTTTTAATATCTGTGTGTTGCCAGTATATAGAAATACGTTTCATTTTGTTTTGTTGCTTGACTCCATTTATACTCCTCCAACCCATATATTATTATGTATATAATTTAATGTAATGTTAGATGCAGCTACAAACAAGATTCTAAAATCATAGTGATTTAATATATTTACATTATGCCCAGTGTAGATGTTCCTGGTTGTGGGTACCCTTACATATGTTCATGCTGAAATAACTACATATTGTGCTTCTATCCTTATTTATGTCTTTACATTAAGCTCACCAGGGGGAAGGCTCACACAGTTTTAACAGCTCCAACCAAGAAGTGACACACATTACTCCTATTATTCCTATTACTTCATATTACATGACTCCGTCTAATATAAGGAGGTCTGAGAAATGCTGCCTGTGGATTGGCACATGCTTTCCAGCCACGGCTGTCGACTATGTTATCAGACAACCACCTATGACACATCGTTGTCACTTGTTTTAATTTAATCTTGTATCTATTTTAATCTCATCAGACACAACTATCATTGGTTCTTGCATGCCATGTCCAAACACTTATTTGTTTTATTACTCTTCATTCCCTCTGATTCTCAGATCTCCCATTTGGGATCACTTCCTTTTTTCTGAAGTATATTATTTATAATTCTCCTTAGTGATAATGAACTATTGGCAAAGTAGTGGAAGCAAAGAAACAAACAGAAAAAAAAAAAAGGGAAATAAGATGATAGCATTAATTCTGAAAATATCAATAAGCACAAAAATGTTCATGATTTAAACTGAAACAGTCAAAATACAAATATTTTCATATTGTGTCAAGAAAATTGATCCGGTTCTATCCTGTTTACAAGAAATACTCCTGAATTGCTAGGATTCAATGTAGCTGTATGAGATAGAAAATTCAAAATAATAATGACTTAGAATGGAAAGAAATTTCTCACACACATAAAAGCACCTTCTTGGTTTTCAGGGATCTGGGCTCCTTCCAGCTTCCTGTTCCATGCTGCCTAAAGAAAGAACTTGCTCCACATGGCACTTTAAACAGCAGATTCAAGAAAGGGCACCATGAAGACGGGTACCATCCCTTTAAAGAAGCTTCCTGGAAGCTTCAAACATTATTTCTACTTAAGTGACATCAGATAAAACTCAGAAAAAAATAGCTATAAAAATAGCAAAATTTAAGGCTTTTATATGAGCAGGAGTGTTGCCTATCTGAAAACTAGGGTTCTGGTGTCTGGGATTTTTTGTTTTAACCAAAAAAAAATGATATGGAGATGGAAGGGGTATGTCCAGAAATGTTTCTTAAATACTATTTGTTAAGAAAAAATAGAACCTAATGCTCATGAAAAGCACACCGATTACAGTGGGGTACATTTATATAATGAAATATCACACACCAATGCAAAAAAATAGACACAAAGCATTTTGAGTACAGTAAAACTACTCTGTGTGATACTGTAATGATAGATGTATGTCACTATCCATTTGTCAAAACTCATGGAATGTACAACACCAAAAGTGAGTCTAATGTAAACTATGGACTTTGGGTGATTGTAATGTGTCAATATGTTCATCATTTATGACAAATGTACCACTATGGTGTGAAATGTTAATAATGATGGAGGGTATGGGAAAGTTTCTGTATTTTCCTCTCTATTTTGCTGTGAACCTAAATTTTCGATTTAAAAATAAAGTCTTATATAATACTAAGGGGTAAAGGGGTTGAGCTTCCCTATTATTATATATCTTAAATGTTCATCTCCAGTCTGAAATTATTTTTTCTTTCCTTGGATTCCTACAGATTTTTATCTGTACCAACAATATAAGTTGTAAGCGTTCTGCCTTCTGTTATAAAAATTTGCATGCCATTTATCCATGCCATTAAACCCCTACTAGGTTTAGGGGTCCTTAACTAATGACATAAATAATGATAAGGATGATAATAAGAGATAACATTTATTATGCTCTTACTATGTGCCATGCTTTACTGGGCTTCATTGCTTTATATTCACTTAATCACATTGTACATTCTTTTTTGTATGTTCATTATGCCTAACAGCACTTGGAATAAAATTATCTGTGAAATAAATAAAGTCTTTAAAAAATTAACTATAATTCCATGTACTAGTTGAATAAATCTCAAAATTACAAGTGGAAACCAAAAATTTTAATTGCAGAATGACATATTATGATACAATTTATATTATGTTAAAAGCATTAAAACAATTCTTGTTTAGAGAAATACTCAATTGTGGTAAAAGCATGAGCTATTAAGCAAAGAAATATAAAGGTTTTCTAAAAGTATAACTATGAGAGCTTTGTGAACAAGCTCTCCTTGAAGTCATCTCTTCCAATTATTGTATCCTACAACCTGCTTCAGCCACTCATTCAAATGGTTCACACCCTTAGCCTTGACAACAACTCTTTATCAATAACTGTGACCCCTGCATCATCTCTATAAGGTGCATACTACATCTTGACCACCTAATTCCTTTTCTGATTACTCCTCTAGCAACTTAACTCCAACAATCTTCTACCCACAAGCATATCCAAACCATGGTTCATTCCTAAATCTCCACTGCTCCTAACTTCCTTACTGATTTCTCTCCTCCCTTAATCAGTTCAAATCCTCTTACAAACACCCTCAAGTTACCTTGCTGTCCCTTCTCTTCAAAATGGCTTAAGAAAAACACAACACATCAATCTTCAAAATGCTAAGACTGAAGATGTGAGAACTCGGATTTTACACCTAGTCAAATTATCAATCAAATGTGGTAAGAAAGCAAAAGTATTTTCATTAATAAAATAATTCAGTGTTTACCATTTATACAGACTATTTTTACAAAACCTCGAGTTATCCCAGAAAAATAGCAAAGAGTTCCAAGGAGAAGAGGAGGTTTAATTTTCTATGGCAGTTGGTTTTGCCCATTGAAGTTAGAAAAAAATTAAGACTCTGTCTCAGACCCTGATGTCTAAAAGATCTTCCTCTACCAAAGCTCTTTACTAGCATAATAATGTATTTCTTTATTCAGTAGTTAATATTATTTACATTTATTTATTAAATCATCCTGTACACAAAGTACAAAAATTCTATAGAATTAATTATAAATTTTATAAACCTTGACAATGAATATGAGAATGGTACAGCTATTTTACATCTCTTATTTTTCATAGCACATAATGAATAGACATTGCCTAATTTAAATAGGTATCATTTAAATAATAAATCATAACTAATAAAAATATGAATATTAAAATATATCATATGTATAATATGCATTACATAATATACATATAATGTGTAATACTATATTATATTTTAATAATATTATTATAAATATTAAAATAATAAGAATATATCGCCCTGGCCAGTTCGGCTCAACGGTTAGAACATCAACCTGTGGACTAGAGAGTCCCAGATTCGGCTCCCACTAAGGGTATGTACCTTGGTTGCAGTTTGTCCCAGGCCCCGGCTGGGGTTGTGTGGGTGGCAACCAGTCGACATATCTCTCTCACATCGATGTTTCTCTCTCTCTTCCCCCCTCTCTCCCTCCCACTCTATCTGAAGATAAATGAAAAAAAAAAAAAAAAGTCCTCTGGTGAGGAATAAAAATAAAAAAATAAAATAATAAGAACATATATATATAATAAATATAGAGAGTGGGTTAAATATATATAGTGATTGCTCCCTGCATGTGAAGAGGTCAGATTATATACGTTTCCTTATCTGTTCCCATATATACTTTAAAAAATGGACATGAGTAAAAACTATTTTCTAACTTAAAAATATATATAGTACTTAAGCTTGTTTTTTAAAAGACTGAATAGGGTGGGAAAATGGCTCAACAAATTACTTCACCTTTCAATGATGCAGTAATTTATTTATATATAAAATATTTAAGTACTATAAATATTTAAAATACATGTAAAAGTTTATTTAAACACTGTTGGAAATATTATTATTTTTACCATTTGTTTTGATTTTGAAGCTCTTTTATCAGTAAAATTATTTCTCCAACTTTATGTCTACAAGAAATATTCGATTTGGGTTACAGAAATGTATTTGCAGATTGATTTCTCATGACACACTATTCTATATATTGAAGAATGCATGTGTAGCTGATATTTTTATTCCACTTTAACTTCCATATAATTGCAACAATACAATTATTCTACAGAATATTCTTCCTTTTATACACTTCAAAATTTTTTACACTTCAAATTTTTAACAGTAATTGAAAATAAATGCAGTTTCTGTCCAGCTGGTGTGGTTCAGTGGTTGAGCATCCACCCATGCGCCAAGAAGTCACTGGTTCAATTCCCAACCACAGCACATGCCCGGGTTGTAGGCCTAATTCCCAGTGGGGAGCATGCAGGAGGCGGTCAATCGATGTTCTCTCTCATCAATGTTTCTATCTCTCTCTCTCTCATCAATGTTTCTATCTCTCTCTCTCTCTTCCCCTCTTTCTAAAATGAATAAAGAAAAATTATTTTAAAAAATAAATTAACACAATTTCTAAATGTAAACTGTATAAAATAGTACTGCAATTTGGGGTACTTTTTAAATATATAATTTTTTAAAATAATTACATACCCAAAAAAAAGAAAAAAATAATAATAATTACATACCAAAGCAATCCCTGCAGAATGATGAGTAACACACATCTGTCCAGGAAACGTTGCTCCCACATAATCTGGATAATCTCTATAGCTAAATAAAGTAAGTATACATTTATAATTTATTTGACGAGCAATTTAAATGTAAGAATTCCTGCTAATAACCTGTCTGTAGTTCATGGAATCCTAGTGTGAAGAAAATTGAGGTATAATATTTCCACGTGTCCTTAATTGTTTCAAATTAGAAAATTTTTCTTAATTAACCGAAATTAAGTACTCTGGATTTCTAAAACATATCCAATTAATCCAAGTTTGTTTGTTTTTTGTTCCTTTACTGTTCTCATCATATTTGGTTAAGGCTACCAAAGCCTTTAATCAAACATTTTGATCATAAGCATTTTGCGGAATGACAATAAAAAATAATTTTAATGTATGGATTAAAAATATTCACTCTCATATAGAAAAACTCATCAGTTTCTCATAAAAATAACTTTCTTGTTCTACAACTTAATATTATTATTTCTGCTTTGAGTAAGGGCCCATACAAATTGTTGTGTAATAATAGCACTATTTTCAGAGATCTACATAAATTATTCCATTTGCTACTCAAATAAACAAGTTGAAATATATATTATTTTTAACCTCATTGAAAAATATCAAATATCAGATGGTAAGTAATGTTCTCAAGGTAGCACAAACAATAGTTACTACTACTAAATGATTGAAACTTGGACAACCTGTAACCAGAGCAATACTTTCAACCACAAAGGTATAGATGTTCCAAACATAAATTATGTCATCTTTAGAACTCTGACCAAAACAAACATTCCAGGATGTATGTAAAAAGGCTTGCTACTCAATTCTCAGTTTGAAATGTCCCTATGGTGTCAACTGCATGTTACTTCATAATTACATGGTGTACCCACTGCTGCTTTATTCTCTCTCTCTGATATTGTTTATACATAACCCCTCCAGTATTTGTTTTCAAGTATTTGTTCCTAACACTCAACTCTGGCTTTGCATTCCAATTTTTATGTATTGTTTACACTCTTTCTTCATCCAAGATAGTTCTCCCAATAGAAAAGAATTCCTCCAAAATTCTATGCATACCTTAGATGAGCTGGATTCAATAATAGTTATTTTTTTATTTAAAACTGCCTACTACCTAGTTTCTACATCAAATCAGTCATCAAGATCTAATTTATAAAACATTTCATCCCAAAACTGCAGTACACACATTCTTCTCAAGTGCATATAAAATATGCTCTAGGACAGACCATATATTAGGCCACAAAAAAAATCCTCAATAAATTCAAGAAAACTGAAATTATATGAAGCATTTTTTTCTGACTACAATGGCATGAAACTAGAAATCTACTATAGAAAGACACTGGAAAAAACACAAATATGTAGAGAATAAATAACATCCTACTAAACAACCAATGGATCAAAGAAGAAATGAAACAGAAAATCAAAAATTACCTTGAGACAAAAGACAATGTGAATACAACTTTCCAAAATGTATGGAATGTAGCAAAAGCTGTTATAAGAGGACAGTGTATACCTATACAGACCTACCTCAAGAAACAGGAAAAAGTCCCAAATAAACAATCTAACTTTCCAACTAAAATAACTACAAAACGAAGAACAAAATCCAAAGTAAGTAGAATAAAGAAAATAATAAAGATCAGAGTAGAAATAAGTGAAATAGAAACTAAAAAATAGGGAAAAAAATCAATGAAACTGATTTCAAAAAGCTGGTTCTCTGAAAAAATAAAATTTACAAACCTCTAGCAAGGCTCGTCAGAGAGAGAGAGAGAGAAACAAAATCAAAAATGAAAAAGGGGATATTTCAACTGACACCACAGAAATACAAAGGACCACTTAAAAACACCATAAACAATTATATGTCAACAAATTGGACAACCTAGAAAAAAATGGATAAATTTCTAGAAACATATAACTTTCCAAGACTGAACCAGGAAGAAACAGAAAATCTGAACAGACCAATTACTAGCAATGAAATTAAAGCAATCAAAAACTTCTGAAAAACAAAAGCCCAGGACCAAAAGGCATCTCGAGTGAATTCTACCAAACATTTAAAAAAGAATTAAAATCAACCATTCTCAAACTATTTGGAAAAAAGAAGAGAAAGGAATACTTCTAAACTTTTTTTATGAGGTCAGCATTACCAGGATACCAAAACTAGACAAGGATACTATGAAAAGAAATTGTAGGATAGTATCTCTGATGATCATAATTGAAAAAAATCCTCAACAAAATATTAGCAGACTGAATTGAATAGAACATCAAAAAAATCATACACCATGGGATTATTCCAGGGATACAAGGATGGTTCAACATCTGAGAACAACAAAGTGATAATCCATGTTAACAAAATTAAGGCTAAACATCATATGATCTTTTCAATATATGCAGAGAAAGGATCGGAGAAAATTCAGCATCCATTATGATAACTTCCAATCAAGTAGGTATAAAGGGACTATACCTCAACATAATATAAGCCATATATGACAAGTCAACAGCTGGTATACTTAGAATGAAAAAGATCAGGAACAAGACTAGGATGCCCACTATCACCAATATTATTTAACATAGTATTAGAAGCCCTAGCCAGAGCAATTAGGCAAGAGAAAGAAATAGAAAACATATATTTATTTGAATTGACAACTTTATCATTATATAATGACCTTCTTTGTCTCTTTTTACAGTCTCTGTTTTAAAGTCAATTTTGTCTGATATAAGTATAGTTATCTCAGATTTCTTTTGGTTTCCATTTTCACAGAATATCTTATTCCATCCCATCATACTCAGTTGGTGTGCATCCTCACATCCAAAGTATGTCTCTTGTAGGCAGCATATACATGGATCTTATTTTTATCCACTTGGTTATTCTTTTGGTTAGATATTTTATTTCACTTACATTTAAAGTAATTAGTGATAGCTATGTACTTATTGCTATTTTATTTATTATTTCCTGGCTGTTTCATAATTGCTTTATTTGTATCTTCTTTTCTTACTCTTTGAGATTTGATTGCTTTGTAATGATATGTTTAGATTCCTTTTATCTTATCCTTTGTATACATATACATGTTTTGGCTTTGCAGTTACCATGAGGCTTACATAAAACAACTTGTATTTGTAATAGTCTATTTTAAGATGAAAACAACTTCCGTTTGTACATAATATGAGACTCTACTTTTTTACCCCCTCCACCCTCACATTTTATATTTTTGGTGTCATAATTAATATATTTTTATTTTGTGTATCTCTTAACAAATTATTGTAGCCATGATTATTTTTACTACTTTGGCCTTATAAACTTCATAAGTAATTTTATAAATGATTAAACACATCTACATCTTTACAACATTAAATTAAATCTGGATATATATATACCATATGTTTTTCTGTTATTAATTAGCACCTTTTCATTTCAGCTAGAGATGTCTCTTTAACATTCTTGTAAGGTCACTCAAATGGTGATGATCTCTTTTAGCTTTGCTTTCTGGAAAACTTTTTTTCTATCTTCCTTCCCCCCTTCCCTTTAGAATAGTCAGAAATGAATAACACTTCCTTAAATAAAGCTACACAATTATCTCAGATCTTTGCTTTCTAAGACTACTGAACATTATTCTTACATGAATAGATATGCAATATCATGATGTCTTAGGGTAAGATAGGATTTTTTCCATTCTAAAAATCTCTCCAATAATTCATCTGCCTCACCAACTGTAGATATCTTATTTTTATTGGACCACAACTCCAATGATGACAGCACAATTGTAACTTTAAATTGGGAAAATACCTAAAAACAAAAGAGATAAAACAAGAAAAAATAACATTTGTGTTATTTTAAATGACCAAGAAATTAATTCAGTTTTGACAAATCCATGCTCAGTTTATGTGGATGAGTTAAGTATCCAGAAATGCCACATCAAGATAATAAAAATTATAATTTCAAAACTAGTGAGAATTTTTCTAACTAGTGAAAAGGAAAATACTTACCGAATTTACAAGGCCAATAATTTCAATGACTTTATTTGTTACCATCATGCTATCAGAGCCCAAGAAATCGTACTGAAAAACAGAATTAATTTTAAATGTAAATACAGATTTGCTATACAATATGTCTGAGATTGACTCTCCATCTACTCGCATAAGTTTTTGGCTACTTGGTGGTTTGAACAGTTAAAAATAAGCCAGTAACAAATACAAAATGGATGTAACACTCTTACATACCAGTGGGAAGGTAAATCATACTGCCACTCTGGAAAGTAGATTGGGAGCATCTTTCTAAATAAATAACAGACTTACCACATGACCCAGCTATTGTAGTCCTAGGCATTTATCCCAAAGAAATAAAAACTGATACATTCAAACAAAAAATTTCTACACATAAATGTTCGTAACAGTTTTATTCATAAAAGCCAAAAACTAGAAACTCATATATCTTTCAAATGATTAACTAGTTAAAAAAATTATGGTACATTCATACCAAGGAATAATATCAGTAATAAAAAGGAACTGAACTTTTCACATATGGAACAGTGTGGATAAACCTCAAGAAAAATTATACTGAATATAAAATAAATCTCAAAAGGATACATACTGCATGATAACATTTATGCAATATTGCTGAAATTATAGAGATAGAGAACAGATTAGTAATTGCCAGAAGTTAGTAACTTTAGGAAGAGGGGAGAGAAGGGTATGATTATAATAAGAAAACATAAGAGAATCTTGTGGTTATGGTACGGTTGGAAGTCTTGGCTGTGGTGGTGGTTATGCAAGGCTACATTTGTGATGCTATCGTATGAAACTACACACACAAATGAGTGTATATATAATTGTTGAAAACTGAACAAGTTCTATGAAAGTGCCAATGTCAAATTTCATATCTATAAATCATAACTCTGAAGTACACTATCCTTTTGATGTGCCACATGACCCTCTAATTAAACGTATCCAAACTAAATTCATCATTCTTCCTCAAAAATCTGCTCCTACTTATGTTTTCACTACTACAGTAAATGGTATTATCATCTATGACCTCTCACATTTATTACACTACACATTCCATGAGAGCAGAACTTTTTCTGTTTGTTCACTGCTGTATATCCAATAAATAGAACAGTAACTGGTATCTAGATCATACCAATAAACTTATTAAGTGAATGAATAAGTCTAATCAATTTATAAGCTCTTCTAATTCAACTTCATCCATCGCTTTTTAAATTGTCTTTTCTTTCTATTCCTAATATTACTAATGTATAAATTTTCACCTTATTGAAATAATCTCTTAAATGGTTCCTCCTTCTCCAATCTTCTCACTAGCAATCCAGTCACTACATTATATTTTTTAAATGGTGATTCTTTCAAAACACCAATGAGAAAAAATATATGCACCCTATATTTATAGCAGCATTGTTTACAGTAGTCAAGATCTGGAAACAGCCCAAGTGCCCATCAGAAGATGAGTGGATAAAAAAGATGTGGTACACTTACACAATGGAATATTATGCAGTTGTAGAAAAGAAAAACTCTTACCCTTTATGACAGCATGGATGGACCTGGGTATTATGATGCTAAGTGAAATAAGCCAGTCAGAGAAAAAAAATATATCACATGATCTCATTTACATGTGGAATCTAATGAACAAAATAAACTGATGAACAATATAGGACCAGAAGCATGAATCCATGGAACAGGCTGGCAGATCTCAGGAGGGAGGGGTGGGAGTGGGGGACTAGAAGAGATTAATCAAAGAACATATATGCACATATGCATAGCCCATGGACACTGAAAATAGTGTAGTAAAGTCCTGTGGGGGAAGGTAAGATGGGGGTAAATGAGGAACATCGGTCAACAATAAAAAAACTTTTTAAACGGTGATTCTAAAATGAAAGCATTAACATGTCACGCCCCTGCTTAAAATCTTCTAATGACTCTCCATTATCTTTAGGATAAAATCTAAATATCATGTCCATTCTTCAATCCATCTCTTTCCACTTCCCTTCTCCAATGCTTTGTATTAAGCATACTAAACTTCCTGAAGTTTTCTGAAAAAAACCTGATGGGGAGTGGCATGTAATAGAAATAGAATCACAGTTGTTTAATAGCTACTCACTATAAAAAAGAGATTTTCTGACAGACCCTAAAGAAACTGAAGGACATGTTACAAAAAGGAGAATGGGCCCTGAAGATAAGGCAGCCCAGAGCCCAGATCAAGGACAGAACCTATCTGAAGTGAGGCAGTGTTCCAGGGCTAATTTTTGCAAAGACAATGAAAGAAGGCAGACCCTAGAAACACTAATTTTAGATTTTTTTTTTTCCCACTTACTAACCTTATATAAGAGTTTGTTTGAAATTAAATGGCTGAGAGCAGAATTTTGAGGATGACCCACTGCTCTCCTCATACTGCCGATATTATAGGAATAAAGGCTCATATATGATTCAACCCTGTTTCTGCTTAATTTGGCTCAAGCAGTGACAGGTGGCCTTGGACCCATTTAGTGTCCAGTATCAAAATTTTCTCCTATATTTATGTGCCCTTGCTAAGAAAGGTTTTGCACAAAGTCTTCCCTGGCCCCACCTTACCCCCCATTACCCAAATAAACCAACGCAGACCCCAAAGTTTTATGAGATTTGTATACTCCAAGCCATTATTCCCTGCCCTAATCACCCAGGGCTAGGTACCACACAACTAGAGACAACCCCTACACCCTAGAACCCACTAAAGTTGTTCAAACTAGCCAATCCTAAACTTGTTTACCTTGTCTCAACAGTTCCTTCCCAAAGAAACCACAATCAAGGCTCCCACACATCTTTCCAACAGCAACTATTTCCTGATCTGTTGGCCTCATCAGACCTGAATAATAATAAAACCTACTTTATTTTAATCCTCAAGTGAGAATATGTTTGTGATTTTTTTTTTTTTAGAGAGAGAGAGAGGAAGGGAGGGAAGAGAGAGAGAGAAAGACAATAAGAAACACCAATGTGAGAGAGAAACATCAATTGGTTGTCTCCCATATGCGGCCCCAGGGAATATAATTTATATTATCTGTGGTATTCCATAGGGGTGACAACCCAATGCTTATTAACAGAACAAAATCTGGAAAGTATATTTTTATTCCTATTTTCTGAAATCTTCGAAATATAAGGGAAACAAAACCATAACTGGTTGAGTGCAAACTAAATTAACACCCCAAGTCCTGAAGTTCAGAGGTTCTCAAATTGTTTATGGGAATCAGGGATCTAGAGATGCATTTAGACCAGGCAAACAGCAGCTTGGAACAGATGCACCAATAAAAACTGCTATAAAATATTGACATATTAATGTAAACATTTCCTGTAAATAGCTATAGTATTACCATTTTTGTGTCAATAAATATTTGATAGGGCAAAATATTCTCTAGACTATATACTGTTCTTCAAGTGTAAATAAGAATTAAAGCTTAAAGAATGTCACATAAAACAAATATCACCATTAAAAATATTGTGGATTGAGAGAGGCTCCAAAAGGTGAAGTACCATGTAAAGATTTCAAATTGAATATTTCTGATAGAACTAATATAATTTTGAATATGTGGTTTTTAATGTTTTCAAATCTTTCCACTGTTCTATGACTTCCAACTAAGAAGATTAGAGTCTTTTAAGTTCCTACCTAGCTAGGGATAATCATATATTCATACCAAATATTTAAAAGTAAAGGAAAATACATACCAAAACTTTGTCTACCACAATATGCATTTCTAGATAAAGAGGAATTAAGTCTGGAAGAGCTGATTCTGACTAGAAAAAACAAAAAACAGTATTTAAAAACAAAAACTTTCATACATTGTTTATTCTGAACTATGAAAATGTTTCCATCTTTACTGAGGTATGGCTGACAAAATTATATTTAAGGTATAAGACTTGATGTTTATACACACATGCACAAACACACATTGTGAAATAATTGGCACAATAAAGTTAATTACCACATCAATTTCACATAGTTACCATTTCTTTAGAGTGTGTGTGTGTGTGTGTGTGTGTGTGTGTGTGTGTGGTGAGAACAAGCACTATCAACCCTCTTTGCAAATTTCAAGTTTACATTACACTACATTACAGTATTATTAGCTATGGTCACATTATTGTATATTAAATCTTCGGAATTTATTCCTTCTGCATAACTGAAACTTTGTACCTTTTGACCAACATTTCCCCAATTTTCCTTGTCCCCACCTCCTGGCAACTGCCATTGTACTGTCTGCATGTATGAGTTTGACTATTTTAGACTCCACATGTAAAGTGAGATCATACAGTATTTGTCTTTCTTTTCCTGGCTTATTTCACTTAGCATAATGTCTTCCACATTCATCCATGTTGTCACAAATGATAGGATTGTATTCATTTTTAAAGCAGAATAATATTCCTCTGTGTGTGTGTGTGTGTGTGTGTGTGTGTGTGTGAGAGAGAGAGAGAGAGAGAGAGAGAGAGAGAGAGAGAGATTTATGTCTTATCCATCTCAAATATCCAGTAGATATTTAGGTTGTATCCATATTTTGGCTATTGTGAATAAAGTTGCAATAAACATGGAGCAGATATCTCTTCAAGATATTCTTTTCATTGCCTAGGATATAGAGCTATGGTGAGTCATATCCTAGCTCTATTTTTAATTTTCTGAGTAAACTTCATACTGTTTTTCATAGTGGTACCAATTTACTTTCTTACAACCACTTTATTTTTTGTCTTTTTCATAATAGCCATTATAACAGATATAAGGTGGTATCTCACTGTAGTTTTGATTTACATTTCTCTGATGATTAGTGATGTTGAGCAATGTGTGGTAATGGATGTAAACTAGACTTATTGTGGTGATTATTTCATGATATATGCCTATGTCAAATCACTGTGTGGTATGTACACACTATTATATGCCAAGTACATGTCAATGTGATGGAAATAAAATAATTTTAAGCATAAATGCATTTTTTGAAAGAGTCACAGATTCTAGATGTTAAAAGGAAAAGCACAAAAACAGTGTCCTACCCCCTCCTCCTTATATCCACAAAAATATGGTAAAAAGGGATCTGAAGGAATCTGGGCAGAGCACTAACACTGTCCACCACAGTGGGTAATTTAAGGTACTGTAAATTACCCTGCTAAACTCTCAGAAGGAAAAGGAAAATTTTGGTATTTAGTTAACAAAATTTCATTTTAGTTCATATACTTATATGTGATAGCACTAAATACTTTGGTGCTGAACCTTCATTTCTTCGTACATTTGATTCTTGTATTATTTTAAGCATAGCATTAGACATTATAACAGAGACACTAAAATAATGTTGAGTTAAACAATACTGGAGTTTATTTCTCTCTCACGTAAAAGTCTGAAATGGTGATTTAGTCTTGTAAATTCTTCAGGAGCAAGGCTGATTCCACCTTCACGCTCTGCCACACATGGTGTCATGCTCATCCTTGTGGACTATGAGGAATCAACATGTCCACAATGCAGCCATCAGGAACGGGAAAAGGAGGAGAGTATAAATCCCCTTCCTTTAAAATTCAATCCAGACATAATACATATTACATCTGCTTATATGTCATTAGCCATAACTTTATCACCTGGCCCTACCTAAATGCAAGGAAAGTTGAGAGGTACGTTTTTACATGCCCAGCTAAACTCTGAGGGGTATTATAAAAACAAACAAAATGAGAAGAACGTGTACTATAAAGAGCTAACAATGCCATATGCCTCTTCAGTAAACGATGCATATTTATGACACTTTTACTTGGCACAAAATTTTTCTTTCTCACAATTACTTTTAGGAGAACCAAAACATGCAGTTATACAGGGTGTACAATGAACAATTTACATAGCCACAACTGACAACCCTGCTTATAACATTTTAATTAGATGAATTAAATTATAATTTAATGAATGCTGACTCCTTGGTTATGAATACAACCTTTATAAATACAGGTTTCACAGAATAACTTCCAGAAAGATAGAGACAAAAGCAAAAAGTGAATTTTTAAAGTGCATATTGAGCCCTGGCTGTTTTGGCTTTGCGGTTAGAGTGTTGGTGCATGGACCAAAGAGCCATGGGTTTGATTCTGGTCAAGGGCATGTACCTTGGTTGTGGTTCGGTCCCCGACCCTGGTCAAGGTCATCTGGGAGGCAATCAATTGATGTGTCTCTCTCACATCAATGTTTCTCTCTCTGTGTATGTCTCTCTCCCTCTCTCCCCCTATCTCTCTCCCTCCCACTCTATCTGAAGATAAATGGAAAAATATCCTCAAGTGAGAATTTAAAAAAAAGTTTATATTGAATATACACTAGTTAATTTTTAGAAAGTTATAAGTAACAAACAAAATAAGAATTAAAATAAAAGTAGATGAGTGGATAAAAAAGCTGTGGTACATTTATACAATGGAATATTATGCAGCGATAAAAAAGGATCTCTTGCCCTTTGAGATAGCATGGAGGGACCTGGAGAATATTATGCTAAGCAAAATAAGCCAGTCAGAGAAAGACAAGTAGCACATGATCTCAGTTATATGTGGAATCTAAGGAACAAAATGAACTGATGAACAAAATAGATGGAAAATAATAAGAAAAGGTGAGGATGTTCTTAAGGAAAGGATATTTGCTACAGCTATACATGAGGTCAATTTCTTTCTAAAATAAATTTTTAAAAGCAGTAACTATCTTGAAAGTAGTAACAAAGCATGTACAACTAACTTTTTCACTTATGAAAATGCTATACTCCATTGGTTTTTGTGCTATACCACTGTCATTTTCAGAATGAACTGCAAATTGATTGTCTTTGTTCCTTAATTTATAAAGAAGATGCTGAAATTCAACTTCAGTGTCCAGAGGTTCAATTCCATAAGAAACATTTTCAAATTGCAGTAATCCTCTGTAAAATTAAGGATAAAGAATTTAAGTGCTTGTAGTCAATTTTATAAAACTCTGACAGAATCAAAAAAGAAAAAAGGAGAAAATACAGAACCTTTTTTAGCTCAATATCTTGATACAAATCCTTTATATTTTGATAATGACTCTGAAGAGACAAAAGAGTACCACCAATCCACAAAATTAACTTCTCATTTCCTTTACAGTTATAAACACAGAGAAATTATGTAAAAACTGCTAGGTGTAGTGCACAGCATTTATAGTGATCAAATAATTCCCCTGTCCTCCAAGTCAGTGACTTACTTAATGAAAGCAATATGGAAATCCTGAAAAAGGATTGAAAAGGATTTAGAAAAAGGATTGCAGTGCTTATATAATAAAAGGCTATATAATGATCTATTTATTTATAAAAATAAAATTTAGCAGTAATTATGAAAAGATGTTTATTAATTTTGTTTATGCACGTAGTTTGAATGAGAAATGTAAAGCAAGATCTTAAAGAGTAAAACAACTTTCGTAACTCTTCTTCCCTAAATACAGGTAACAGTTCAAATGACTACTCCCTAAAAAAAAAAATTCAGGGTTCTATGTAAAAGCACTGAGGAACATTTTTTGTGAACAAGGACCCTACAACACAAAATGAGAGTGAAGAATTTCCTGACATGATGGGGAACTCTTTAAGCACTAAGGAGGACATCCTACAATTCTTAGAAACTTTCAGATACTGATATTATTAGAAAATTAAGTACTACATTAATAATTATTTGTTTATATAGAATTGACTTCCTCTCTCTGCAGATGATTTTCCTTGAGAAAAAGCATGCCTTATTTATCTTTATTTCTCTTTATATCTTCAAACACTTGGCTAGTAGCTGGTATATGGTAATATTAAAATAGAATATTTGCTATAAAATGAGCTACCCTAAATTTGGCTTTTCAAACTTGCCGTAGTCAAGCATGTTCAGCTGTCATTTCTGAAGTTAAGAAAAAACAGAATATAGAGCAAGGATGCCAGAAAATCCAAACTTTCAAGGAAGCTGGAAATTCTCTGCTCATTGAAGAAAGTGGGAAATAAACAGCAGAAAATACAACTGAATAATCACATGGGAATTTTCTTCCAACTTCACACTTAATATCAACATAACAAATTCAATGCAGCCAAATATCATAACTATTATGTTCACATATCAACAGTAGAAAATATATAACCTCAGTCCAGAGCATGTGCTGAGTGTGACAATAGAATTCGGATATCCTTCAATATATCCTTGGTAGTAGCATTGAGTCTAGAAAATTAAAAAAGTAAGGTGGTTATTTAGGCATTGACAAAATTTTCTAATGATTTCTTATTTTATAGAATTTTCTGAATATTTTCCAGGCTACACAATCTCTCTCAGTACAAATAAAGCAACATTCAGAAACAAAGTTTCCCCACATTTGCCACTTTTACTGTATTAACTACTCTTATCAGATTAATACTTGGGATTATTATTTTACACCCTTCTTCCAAAGTTAATTCCATATTTTTGGTAAAATTATTTTCCAATATGTAAATTTAGGTCATCAATTAAAAGACCAAGATTGTGAATCTGAATTTCTTTTAAATCTAATATTCTGCTAAAAGGCAACATCTAAAATGTAAGGGAACAGAAAGAATGAAGAGGTAGAAAAAGATACACCATGCCAACACAAACTAAAAGGATGATTTTGAAGCTATACTAATACAAAAATATGCAGACATTAGGCAAGAAGTATGAGTAGTGATAAAGAGGGACACTTTAAAATGATGTTTCAATTCACAAAGAAGAAATAAATACTCCAAATTTGTAGTCACTTAATAACATACCTTCAAAATATGTAAAGTCAAAATTGAAAGAATAATAAAAATAGAGAAATATATATTCTTTTTTTTTTTTTATCCTCACCCAAGGACATTTTTCTATTTTTTGTTCAGGTAGAGTGGGAGGGAGAGAGAGAGAGAGAAACATCGAGGTGAAAGGGACACATCGAGTGGCTGCCACCCGCACGACCAACCAAGGCCGGGGACAAACTGCAACCGAGGTACGTGCCCTTAGCGGGAACTGAACCCGGGTCTCTCCGGACCGCAGGCCGACGCTCTAACCGCTGAGCCAAACCGGCCAGGGCAAGAAATATATATTCATAGTAAAAGATTTTTAAACATACACTCTGTCAGTAACTGATAAACCAAGCATTCAGAATCTATAGGGGATTTAAACAGCATGTTAACAACCTAATATAGACATAATATTATACTTTAAAACTGTAGAATATATTTTATTTTCAAGGAACATAGAACCTTTAAAAAAATAAAAACACATGCTGACAATGAAACATGAGAATAAATTTTAAATAACTGTAATCATACAAAGATTGGTCTCTGCCCACAGCACAATTATGCTAGAGATCTAACAAACATCATCATAGAAAAAGAGAAATATTATATAATTTCCAAGATTCAATAGTACTATAACTTTTGGTAGAAATCAATGTAAAGTTTGTAAACACACTGCCTTATGTTGGAACCTAGGGGAGGAAGGAAGAAGCAAGTAAAGGAAACTAATGGTCCTATCTAATATAAATAAAGTGACATGGTGTCCAATTTAATATTTTAACAAATTCTTATTGTATGCTAACTATGTGCCAGGCATTTTTCTAGGCATTGAGAATACATCAGTGAATAAAACAGACTAAAATCCCTGGCTTCATGAAGATTATATTGCACTGGAGAATCAGAAAATAAAGTAAATAATGTAGATGGCACATCATATGTTGATAACCATTATGAGGAGAAACAAAACAAGTAAAGTAACGGAGTACTAAGGGGAAGAATGCAATTTAAAATTAAGGTTAGGCCCTGGCTGGTGTGGCTCAGTTGGTTGAGCATCATCCAATACACCAAAAGGTCGCTGATTCAATTCCTGGTCAAGGTACATGCCTGGGTTTTGGGCTCAGTTTCCAGTAGGGGACATGCAGGAGGTAGCCGATCAATATTTCTCTGACATCTCTCTCTCTCCCTCTCTCTCTCTCTCTCTCTCTCTAATAAATAAAAACCTACTTTAAAACAAATAAATAAAAAAGGGGTTAGTCAAGGACTAATGGGGTGATTTTGAGCAAGACCTGAAGGAAATGAGGAAGAAAAACATGTGGTATTTTGTAAAAGATCAAATACATGGATCAGAGAAATAGTAAGTGCAAAGTTCTTGAAAAGAGAACATGTCTAATGTGTCTGAAGAACAGCAAGGAGAGAAATGTATTAAAACAAGTGAGTAAGGTAGAGAATAACAGGAAATGAGGTCAGACTGATAAAGAGGAGCAAATTGTATAAAGGCTGTAGGATATTGAAATGACTTTGGTTTTCACTCTGTGAGCCATAAATGGTCACCCCATGGAAGGTTCTCTAACAAGAGAAGCAACATGATCTGACCAGATTTTAATAATGAATCTGGTTGATGTGTTCAGAATTGACTCTGAGGGGATGGGCAAGGTGTGAAAGTAGAAAGTATTCAAGAAGTTCTGACAATCCTGTTAACCCTGATGTTTGCTTGGAAAAGAGTTGTTTCAGTGGTTGGAGACAAAGGAAGAGGGTGGATTATGGACATACTAGAATTTAAAGAGTAGATTCAACAGAATTTTTTCATGGATGGGATAAGGCAGCAATTGTCATCCCTTTTTTATCTCATGGCACACATAAACGAATTACTAAAATTCTGTGACACACACACACACACACACACACACACACATTCTTTTTGTTGATCTGAACAAAAAAATAGGTATAAATTTGATACATTTACACCAGACAGCTATTGTTGTGTTGGCTGTCATCATATTTTTATTTGATGCTCTAAGGGAAAAGAGTTCAGTGCCCCTGACTAAATAGTCAGGTAATGTATGTTTTAAAAATTCTTGAGGCACACCAGTTGAAAATCACTGGGATAGAGAGTAAAAAAAGGAAAGGTTTTCAATCTATGATTTTGTGTCCAGTAATATTTGTGTTTGCTTTTACTTCTTTAATTTATGTTCATTTAGTCAACAAAATACAAACTAATTAATTAATTAAATGGTACCTATATTCTAGGCAGAGTAAAGGTGCTAAGTAAATCCAATTAGTCTTTAATTTACCGAGACTTCAGGAAAGTATAAAATAGGAAAAATCAGATCCCCCTAAAAATGGATCCCTTAAACATGTACCCTGTGAATAGAGTCTTCTTCATTAGGAAAGCAGTTATTCAATGTAAAAAAGATTTCCAAAAAAATCTGTAAAACGTAGACCTTAAATCTTACCTGAATATTTGAAGAATAAGAATTCACACCTTCATTATACAAATAAACCATAAAATTATCTGCCACAAAAAATCTAAATGTAAAAAAGAATGAGAGAATTTTAAAAGTTACTCTTTTTGAAACATATAAAGCAACAGCAAGCAAGCTAACACCCTCAGGCCAAGTATGACCTGCTCTTTTCTATTATTGTAAATAAAGTTTTATGGGAATACAGCCACAGCCATTTACTTTTGTATGTTCAATGGCTGCTTTTCTGTTACAACAGCAGAGTTGAGTCATTTTAACAGAGAATTTATGGCCCTCAAAGCCAAAAATATTTACTATCTGGGCTTTAGGAAAAAAACAACAAAAAACTCTGCCAACCTCTGACAAAGATAGTATTTTCTTTTGACATATACATAATTTTTATTCAAAGCAATACACATTTACTAAAAATAATTTTCCTATCTTAATGGACTCCTTTAAAGAAAATAAAGAAAAGGGACTACAAGATGAGAGAAAAGCATTTTAAAATTTACAAAGTTGTGAACTGGATGTAGGATTCTGACAGTTGTCTGTTCCTTCATTTTTTCTAAATGTTATTACCATGAATACATATTTCCTTTATAATGAAGTGAAAAAGTTTTGGATAAATACTCAATACTCAAATAATATTGGATCATATTAAGAACATAGGTAGTAGTAGGGTTCAGACTGACAAACCTCAGAGGAGGTGGGGGGACAGATAAACCAAAGAATTTATATGCATATATGCATAACCAGTGGACACAGACAACAGTGCTGGGGTGGGGGCGGGATCGGGAGGAGGGTGTCAATGGGAGAAAAAGGAGAAGCATCTGTAACAAAAGTAATGTAATTGAAAAAGAAGAGAAGAAAAAAATACAGGTACTAAAACTACAGTCTAAGTTCAACCTTCTCTGATACCATTCCCTGAACTTATGCTAATTTAGTTAGGCGTCCTCACCTCATGCTCACTCCTCCATCCAAAGTAACATAACTAGACCACCCAGACTAGTTTCTGTTGGGAATCCTCCACTAAAACTGATCTCATATAGAATAATTACCTAATGAACCTCTAGTTGTCAAATCCAGAAGGCAGTTCGAAGTCAAGTAAAACTACTCTTAATGTACTTCATGTTGCTGACCACATTCCCCTTCTTTAAATCATTGACTCCAACTTCAATCATACCATTTCCCCTGGTTTTCCTCATATCTTTCTACTTCTGTAAATCCTTTCATCTGTATCCCTGCTTCTTCCCTTAAATGTTTCCATGGCATTCATTTGTGGGTTGTTTTTCCTTCTCACCTTTAATATTCATCCTCACTTCTATAGATTATCTTGTTCATGTTGGTGCTTCAGTTATATCTACATTTTCTTTAAATAGCTGTAAAAGCCACATCTCCCTTCCATGTTCTAAACTAAATCTACTTGCCAGCTAGACATTACTCCTGTGATATCCCACAAGCATTTCATATACAACCTCTCCAAAAATGAGCCCATATTTGCTCTAACTCAAATCTGTTCCCCTCATCCTTCATTGCCCCACTAAATAAATCTCTGCCACAACTCACTGTATCCAATCCGTTAGCTAATCCTTTTTCTGCCACCTCAGTATTTCTCAAAAAAAAAAAATCTCTATTTCTACACAGTCATAGTTCTGCTTCTCATTATTTCTCACATAAGTTATTTGCAATAACATAATTAGCATTATGCTATCATAATAATTATGCAGGTAATTTCCCAAAACAATATACACATTCTCTATCCATACATATCCCAAGCTCCAGTTCCTGTATGTCTTACCACTGTTCATAGTCCTGATAAAATGTTCAAATTCAATGTGAGTTCTTTCACTTTTTCTCTTATATACCTGAGAAGTTATTTGTGTTATCATTTACCATATTCTTCCCTTCTCTCTACAGGAATAGGTTAACTCTTCTTTTACTCAATGACATTCTTTGGTATCTTACACAATAAATCACTTGTTTCCACATCTCTCTTTAAGAAATTTCCGCTCAGTCAAAAAACTTAGTTTTATCTTTCTTTGAAAGCATTTATCTGACTTCCTCTTTCTTCTTTCTTTGCTCAATATTTTTAATAAGTTATTTACATTTTACTATTTTTGGTCATATAATTAGTCACTCCTTAATTCCATGTAGTCTAGTTTTATACCCAAAAATTAACTGAAATTGTCGTCTTGAAAGTCACACATTACTTACAATCCAGCTTTTCACAGCTGGGTTTCCATTAAAGAAGTAAATCTTATAAAAAGTTATTTCGATTATTTTCTCAATTCTCTGAAAGATGATACATAGCTAGCACCATTTTCCATAAACTATTCACTAGCTCTCACACAATATATCATCTAATTTCTGTATTAAATCCCTATTCCATATCCCTAATGGTGGGCCTGCCTCCTTGATTAAATCTTAACTAATACAATCATTTACAGACTTAGTTCTTGTTTTGGCATCTTGCCTTGATTATACAGGTCCTGCTCATTCCATCAACTTAAAATCATACAGATTCACGTTCAGGAGGTGAGTCTATTTTTTCTGTTCCTAACCTCCCTGTTCACAAAAGGCTACTTTCATGAAGAATAAGGACCAAAAATGTAATTAATTCACAGAAGAGTATCTGTTCATCTGAGACAACTAAAAATGTAATAGTGACTATATTTATTATTTTAGTAGTCCATTTTTATCATAAGTAAACATTCATTAAATAGAATGAAATTCAAAACTAAAGAATGAAAAAATTACCTTTGTTTAAGGTGTACTGTATATGGCTTCTCATCTATTGGAATAATATAGGATATCTGTTTCAAAAAAATCCAGAACTGAGAGTAAAGACAAATGTAATAGAATAAGCAAAACAACAATTTTACATCAATTAATTTCTCCAAACAATGCTTAAAAAGTCTTCATTAAAGCATCTCAGACTATGTGCGATTTAAAATCTGCAACAACATATCAAAAATTTTTAAGACCAAAGGTAGCTGAATGGTTTTTTAAATGAGTACAACTCTAGCATACTAAGGTTCCAGTTATATTAAAGTATTTGTTTACCAGTAGGTTTATAAAATTGTTTTTTTGTATGGGAGCGAGTTCAAAAATATTCAAAATTTGATGAAAAACAGTAATCTACATATCCAAATTCTTGACAAATCCCTCATTAAAAAAAAAATACAAGATACATATAAAAATATATCATGTTCAATCTGTTGAAAGCCAACCATGAAGAAAAAAATTTTTAAATATCAAAAGAAAAATAAGTCATTACATACACAGAAGTATCAATACAGTTAATGGTAGGCTGCTCATCTGAAATAATAAGGACAGAAGGTACTTAAAAAGTTGTTTTTTTTTAATGTTGAAAGAACAATAATCCTGCCAACCAAGAATTCCATATCCAGCAAATCTACCTTTAAAAATGAAGGTGAAGTAAAGCCTGACCCACAAGAAATACTAAAAAAATTCTTTATGTTGAAAGGAAATAAGAAGAATGGTAACTCAAAGAACCAGAATAGGTTAAACATGAGTTAATATAAAAGATTTGATTAAATTTTTAAAATTATAAATGTAGTTTTTCTTATTTCTCCTTTTAATTTATTTAAAATATATAACAATGAATGAAGCAATAATTATAATGTATAGTTTGGTTTATACAAATATAAATGTATTATATGACAAGAATAGCACAAAGGAAGGAGATAGAATTCCACTATATAGAAGCACAGTTTCAATATTTTACTGGAATTTTTCATATTAATATAAAGTAAATTGTGATAATTTAAAATGCATATTGTGGTACCCACAGCAACTACAAAGAAACATGTTTTAAAAATAACAAAATGAGGAATGTAAATCCAACCATACAAATTATTGATTTTTTTTTTTCAAATCTTTATTTTTGGATGTAAAATGTATTACAGATGTTCCACATTTTTCCCCCATTGACCCCCTCCTCCCCCCTCCCGTCCCCCTCCCACCTTTTCCCACACTATTGTCTGTGTCCATTGGTTATGCATATAAGTTCTTTGGTTTATTTCTTCCCTCAACCCCTTTCCCTTTGAGGTTTGTCAGTCTAGCAATGAATTTGTGCTTCTTCATCCCTTCACCTTTTTCACCCGTTCCCCCAACCCCCTTCCCAACTGGCAACCAACAAAATGTTCTCTGTATCTATGAGAATGTTTCTGTTCTTCCTGTTCATTTTGTTTGTAGATTCCATTGTTGATAGATATGTATTCATTGCCATTTTGTTTGTTCATACATTTTATCTTTTTCTTCAAAAAGACCCTTCATCATTTCATATAATAACAGTTTGGTGGTGATGAACTCCTTTAACTTTTTCTTGTCTGGGAAAGTTTTTATATGTCCATCGATTCTAAATGACAGCTTTGCAGGATAGAGTAATTTTGGTTGTAGGTTCTTGCTTGCCACTCCCTTCTGGCCTGCAAAGTTTCTTTTGAGAAATCAGCTGACAGCCTAATGGGTACTCCCTTGTAGGTAACTAGCTGCCTTTCTCTTGCTGCTTTTAAGATTCTCTCTTTGTCTTGAACCTTTTGCATTTTGATGATGATGTGTCTTGGTGTGTGCCTCTTGGGGTTCATCTTGTTTGGGACTCTCTGTGCTTCCTGGACTTGTATGTCTGTTTCCTTCACCAAGTTAGGAAAGTTTTCTGCCATTATTGTTTCAAACAGGTTTTCGATTTCTTGTTCTCTCTCTTCTCCTTCGGGCACCCCCAAGATGCGAATGTTGGCCACTTGAAGTTGTCCCAGAGGCTCCTTACACTATCCTCATTTTTTTGGATTCTTTTTTCTTTTTGCTGTTCTGATTGGGCATTTTTTGCTTCCTTATATTCCAAATCGATGGTTTGCTGCTTGGATTTACGTACTCTATTATTGAAGCTGTGTAAATTATTCTTTATTTCAGTTAATGCCTCCTTCAATTCTAACTGTGTATCCATGATTTCTGACTGGTCCTTTTTTATGCTCTTGAGGCCCTCCCTAAGTTCACTGAGGTTCTCACTAAGTTCATTGAGCATCCTTATAAGCAGTATTTTGAACTCAGTATCTGTTAGGTTGCTTATCTCCCTTTCGCTTAGTTCTTTTATTGGGGTTTTGTTCTGCTCTTTCATTTGGGACCTGTTTCTTTGTCTCCTCATTTTGGCTGCCTCCCTGTGTTTGTTTCAGTGTATTACTTAATGAGCGGTATGGGGCTCGCTGAGACCCGATGCTGCTCGTTTGAAAGAATTTAGGAAAAACCTGAAGCAGGATCCAAGACCGGCCAATCCTATGGTTAAGCAAGTGGCAACAGCTTCGGTGGGCTTGAAAGTTGGGCGGGGCGGGGCCTCAGGGAGTCACCAGGGCGGGGCTACCAGTGTGAGCCAGGTTGCTGGAGTCCCAGATATGGCTTCTGTCTGCTGCCCTCGGGAAAGGCTCACCAAAGGAACAAAGGACTCTTACACCACGTTTGTCCCCGAGGAAGCCCCCTCTCCAGCCCTCGTTCCAGTGCCAAACAGCTCAGTTCTTCCCTGGATGTCTCTGGCGCCCCTCGAGCTGCCTCCCCTCCAAGCTTAGAGGGAGAGAGTCCGATAAGTCTGTGAGCGGGCCCTTTAAGGAGCTGCCTGGGGCTCCAGCCGCCTCAGCCTCCCTGAGCCTCAGTTCCCGCTGGATTTTCCAGCCAGAAGTTATGGGGATTCTCTTCCTGGCACTGGAACCCTGAGCGGGGCACCTGGTGTGGGACGGGGACCCCTCAGTCCTCAGGAAGGACCTTCCGAGCCGCGGGAGCCTCCTGATTTTTATCCGCCACACTTGGGTGTGGGACCAGCCCGTCTCGCAGCTGCGCGCCGCCGCCACCCCTCGCGCCGCCCCGCCGCCCGTCCTACCAGTCTGGAAGTAGCTGCTTTTTTTTTTTTTTAATTCCGTAGTTGTACGACTTCCATTCAGCTTGATTTCAGGTGGTTTTGAATGATGGTTGTTCTGTAGTTTAGTTGTAACTTTGATGTGGTTGTGGGAGGATGCGATACCGCGTTTACCTACGCCGCCATCTTGACCAGAAGTCCAAATTATTGATCTTAATGTAAATGATCTAAACACCTCAGTAAAGCCCTGGCCGGTTTTGCTCAGTGGTTAGAGCGTCGGCCTGTGGTCCAGAGAGACCCAGGTTCAGTTCCCGCTAAGGGCATGTACCTCGGTTGCAGTTTGTCCCCAGCCATGGTTGGGTTGTGTGGGTGGCAACCACTTGATGTGTCCCTTTCACGTCAGTGTTTCTCTCCCTCTCTCTCTCTGTCTCTCTCTCTCTCTCCTTCCCTCCCGTCCTCCCTCCCAGTCTATCTGAAGAAAAAAATGGAAAAATGTCCTCGGGTGAGGATAAAAAAATAAATTAAAAATAAAAATAAACACCTCAGTAAAAAGACAGAGATAAATTGTAACAATGTACATCCAATAATATGCTATCTACAAGGGACATACCTTAGATTCAAATGTACAAATAGGTTCAAAATAAAAGAATAGAAAAAAAATATATATATATATGTATATATATATCATACCAACAGTAACCATAAAAAGGGGTCATAGCAATATCAGATAATATAAGCTTGAAGACAATAAGCATTACTAAAAAGAATAATATTTCATAAAGATAGAAGTGTCAATACATTCAAAAATATAAAACTTTTGAATGAACAGACATCTATTAACAAATCCTCAAAATACATGAAGGAAAAACTAAAAGAATTAGAAGTAAAAACAGACAATTTAATAATCATAGTCAGAAATTTCAATTTCCATTCACAATAATGGGTAGAACAACTAGACAAAAAATCGCCAAACATAAAGGACATTTGCATAAAACTATTAACCAACACAACCAAAGTGACATAGAAAACACTCCATCCAACAAATGCAGAATCCATATTCTTTTCAGGTGCATATGAAATATTCTTCATGATAGACCATATTCTAGGTCAAAAAATTAAAAAGAAGTGAAGTCAAAAAAGTGTTTTTGCTGCTGCAACTGAATTAAATTAGAATCAACAACAGAAAGAAATCTAGGAAATTCCTAAATGTATGAAAATTACACAACAAACTTCTAAATAACTCATGGATCAAAGACAAAAATCATAAAGGAAATTTAAAAATATTGTGAACTGAATGAAAAATACATCACAGCCCTGGCCGGTTTGGCTCAGCGGTTAGAGCGTTGGCCTGCAGTACAGAGAGACCCGGGTTCAGTTCCCGCTAAGGGCACGTACCTCGGTTGCAGTTTGTCCCCGGCCCTGGTTGGTCGTGCGGGTGGCAACCACTCGATGTGTCCCTTCACATCGATGTTTCTCTCTCTCTCTTCCTCTCTCTCCCTCCCGCTCTGTCTGAACAAAAAATGCAAAAATGTCCTCGGGTCAGGATAAAAAAAAAAAAAAAGAAAGAAAAATACATCACAGCATAATTTATGGAACTGATGCTCTGGCCCTCTGTGTACACTGAGGCAGCAGCATTATCCCCAAAACCCTAGGTAGTAGCCCTGTCTTCTCCCCACCCCTATGTCTCTGGACCGTGGTCTTGCCGGAGACACTGGAGAGAAGCATCCTGGCCACCAAAACTGAGAAGGTCGTCAAACCCTCTGAAATCGAGGAAAAAGCTTTGCTTCCTAGGCTTGTAATGAGAGTGGAAACCCTGGTTATCTCTGAATATCCTCTGCATCATTCTTTCTTTTTCTTAAAGGAAAATGAATGTTCAAAGCTCTAAAGCTCTATTGCCCTGTCCTGTAGAATCCCAGAAGTCCAATAGCCTTTCTTCATTTTATCTCATTTTCTCTTGCCCATTTATTCCTAGCTGGCAATGTTTCTGCTGGCTTTAGGTATTAGCTGTTTAAATCCATAGCTAATCTCTTTATGAAGTGACTGTCCAGCCATAAACCTGGTATTTGCTCCAGAATATGCTTTTTAATTTTTTGCAATATGGATATGATGAGAGTTTTCCATCTTCAAGTTCTGATTCCTTTTTGCTTAACAATTCCTCCAATTTATCTCTCTTTTCTTGCATTTTACTATAATCAGTAAGGAGAAACCAGTCATCATCTTCAACACTTCACTTAGAAATCTTCTCTGCTAAATATCCAAGGTGGACACAAGTTTTACCTTCCACAAAACACTAGAACACTATTCAATCTGTTGCCACTTTATAAAAACAACCGCCTTTCCTCCAGTTTCCAATAACCTGTTCCTCATTTCAACCAATATTGTGTTCATGGTGGATGATATGTATATTCTACAAAATGATAGAAGCTTTTTCTACAACTCTTCTCTCTTCTTTCTGAGTTCTCACCAGAACTGCCTCTAGCATTCATTTGTACATCAATAGCTATTTCAAGGCAAGCCACACTTTTTCTAGTATGCCATCATAATTATTCCAGCCCCTACCTATCACTCAAATTTCAAAGTCACTTCCACATTTTTAGGCTTTTGTTACAGCAGCACCCCACTCCACAGAACCAAAATCTGTACTTGTCAGCTTAGGCTGCCTTAACCAAATACCACAGATTGAAAGACTTAAAAGACACAAATTTGCTTTCTCGCAGTTCTAGAAGCTGGAAGTCTAAGATTAAGGTGCCATCACGTTAGTTCCCAGCGAGACCTCTCTACATGACTTACAGATGGCTACCTTCTTGCTGTGTCCTCTAATTGTCTTTTTTCTGTGCTCAGTTGGAGAGAAAGGGAGGGTGTCTCTTCCTGTTCTTATAGGGTACAGGTCCTATTAGATTAGGGCCCCATTCTTATGAACTCATTTAATCTCATCTCCTTAAACGCCTTATCTCAGAATACAGTCACATTGATGACTGGGACTTTAACATATGAATTCAGGGGCAGGGAGCACAATTTAGTCCATAACAGAGCTTTTATACACAATGAGAAAAAACAAGATTCATAAAAAGAAAACTTGATAAACTATATGTCACTAAAATTGAAAATGACTGTGCTTTAAAAATATACCAATGAGAGAATGATATGGCAAGACACAAATTGGGAGAAAATAACTGTGCATCATATAGATAAAGAATTTGTATCTAGAATATATATGGAATTCTAAGAATTCAGAAATAAAGAGGAAAACAACCTAATTTAAAAATGTGAACAAAATTTGAATAAATATTTTACAAAAAAGACATAAATGTTTAATAGGCTCATAAAAGATGCTCAAGATCATTTTTCATTAGGGTAATTCAAATTGAAGCCACAATGAAAAACACTACACACCCACTAGAATAACATTAACCAAAAATGAGAGACAAAATCAAGTGCTGACAAGAAAAAAACTGGAACCCTCTTTTATGGCTGATGTGAAATGTAAAATTGTACAGTCACTATGGACAACAGTTTGGCAGTTTCCTTAAATCTTAAACATAAACTTGTCATATGGTGTAGCAATTTTACTCCTAGGAATATGCCCAAGAGAATGTCCACATATAAATGTTCATAACAGAATTACTCATAATAACCAATATCTGAAAAACAATTCAATGTCTATGAAGTCAAAGAATGTGTTATCCACATCTAATAAGACATAAAAATTTATGAACTATTGACAAGTGCTACAAGATGGACAAACCCAATGAAGAATATGCATATCATATGTTTCCATTTATATGAAATGTCCATAAAAGGCAATTATAGAAACAAAACACAGCCCTGGCCGGTTTGGCTCAGCGGTTGGAGCGTCGGCCTGCGGTCCGGACAGACCTGGGTTCGGTTCCCGCTAAGGGCACGTACCTCGGTTGCAGTTTGTCCCCGGCCCTGGTTGGTCGTGCGGGTGGCAGCCACTCGATGTGTCCCTTCACATCGATGTTTCTCTCTCTCTCTCTTCCTCTCTCTCCCTCCCGCTCTATCTGAACAAAAAATGCAAAAATGTCCTCGGGTCAGGATAAAAAAAAAAAAAAATTTAGTACAGAGATAGAAACAGAACACAAATCAGCAGTGGCCAAGGGCTGAGAATGGCAGCAGAGAAAAACTGCAAATAGACATAAGGGAACTTCTTAGACAACAGAAATGCTGTAAAAGTGAATGGTGATAATATTTACATAACTCCACTGATGTACTAATAATAACTAAGTTATATACTCTTACAAAGGGTGAATTCTATGGTGTGCAAAATATACCTTAATAAAAGTGTTAACAACAAAGTGTTATCAAAATATTGACCACTTATAAGAAAGGCTTGATTCACTGTGTTTCTTTTTTTTTTTTTTTTTAATCTCCTAAGACACATAGCTTATAGCTATACGCACAAGTCCAGAAAAATATCTGTTAAATAAATTAATGAATAAGATAAAGTATCTCCCTTTCTAACAAAAAGAATAGAATAAAAGGCTTTTTCTCTTTGAGAACTGGTAGGTGGTATGGTAAAGAGGAAGGAAGGAGACTTTAATTTAAAAAGATTTTTCTTAACCGTCTTGGAGAAAAGCATTCTCTTCATATGAGTCATATAGATATCACTCAGATAAGACCCTATTTCTTCTGCATTATTTTCTGTATTTGAACTTTTAATAGTTTTACCATGAGGAAATGAGATATATTAAACAAAAATAGAACATTCTGATATACATATTTGCTTTTACCATCAAAACTTTAAATTCATTAGTAGAAATAATACTGGGAACTTATATTCATACTTTAAGATTGATATATTTCATTGGTATACAATAAAAACAAGAAATATCATATACTAATATTGATTGTGAAAAATATATCTTACGTTTTCTATTTGTGAATTATCATTTGTATTTGCTTGGATTTTCTCTGGAAATACAATCTGTAGAGATGAATTTTGAGAACCTAAAGAAATTATTTTAAAAAACAGTGAATAACTGTGTCTTAAACCTGACTAAATATTTTTTCAGGTTCTTTTGTAAAATTCACTTATGCAAATATGAGTTCTCACTGTATATTCCTATAGAAATCTTTAAAACAATTGAAAAACAATAGTTGTAAGACATCATAAAAAGCACAGGGAGAAGTATCAACTTACACAAAATTTGCTGTTCCTGAAAAACACAGAATAGAGTAAAAATAATCAAAGATGAACTTCAAGGTGACTTTCCTGAATTGAAATATTTGAAACAATAGATGGGAAAGTACACTGTATTGAAGTTAAAAGCAATAATAATTCATCAAAACTCAGACTATTCTACTAACGCTACTGACTGCCTAAGAGAAATAATTCTATGGGCATATGAGAAAAAGAAAATCGTATTGGACACACAGGGAGAAAAGAAGACTGGCTTGAGAAATTTTTACAACAGTATTTAACATTAAAAAAAACGAATCACAATGTCTTTGTTAAATCTTCATGAAAAAGTATGGAACCGGAAATTTTTACCCAGCAAAACTGTTATTAAAATAAGAAGGCAAAAGACATATTTACAAGAAAAAAATCAAAGAACATAGTTCACATATACCTGTCATAAAGGGCAAATGAACTTCTCCCAATAAAATATCAACAGATATGAGGAAAAAAGCCTAGTAGTAGTGAGCATTAAATAAACTTAAATATAGAATAAAGATTAAAACAATTGTGGGAATTATAGTTATTTAATAAAATGCAAATATTATAAACTATGATTATATAGGCATAGTAACATTTACAATAATGGTACAAAGTATAGCAGGAGAGGAATACCATATGTGAATACTGATTTCTTTAAATTTATTGCAGTGTGATAAAAAAATGTGACTTAAAGCTGAAAATCAATTGGTAGAAGTAGAAACATATTGTTTAATGATATAAAGGTATTAGAAGAACTAAAACTATAGTCATGTATAAAAAGGAGAGCAGGAGGTAGGAATAAGTAGCAAGATACTAAATTTTCTAATCTCTCACAGTGAGAAATCACTAGTTACTACCTAAATGAACAATTGAATCTATTATATAGAACAAATTATAAATATTCCAAATTAAAAGAAGATGAATACACAAGGAACCCAAAAAAGTACATCAAGTCACAGATTTTTATGGTAAAAGACTTTTTACCAAAACAAAAGCATAAAATCAATAAAGTATAACATAAATAAGAAGCACTACGATAAAAAAATTTGTCATATCAATAAATGTAAGTAAGATGAAGTGACCAAATAAAAGAAAAATCCTCAGACTGGATCCACAAAATAAAAACCCAATTATTCAGACCTTCTGTGGAATAATAAATACTGGATCTAGGCTACTATTAATTTTTGAGGACCTAAAATATGATTGTGCTCACTTTAGGATAAAATGTATGCTTACCAGGAAATTTCAGATGATTAATGGAATTTAGGTTCAAATCTACGAGTGTATTCATGGTTCTACAAGTTAGCCTTATCATAATTTGCCCAATTATGGAACAGTGTGTGGAAATAGATATAATCAATAATCTAGCCTACCTAATATATAGGATGAGGATTATTATGGTAAGAAGGGCCAAAGAGAAAACTCTGAATATCATTTGCACCATCAACAAAACATTAAACCAAAAGACTTCCTGAATCCAGAAAGTAGACCCACTGTGAAGTGATTTGGAATATACAAAGTCAGTGATCTCTATTATGCTCCTATTTTATTTGTTTGATCTGTGTGAATGATTTAAATTTTAAATTTAGTCAGGTGATGATTGAAATAACAAATATTATTTAAAATATGGTCCTTTTACTGAAGCAAATTAACATAGCAATTGACACCTGTATGTAACCATTGATAGAAAAAGTGCTGTTTTCACTATCTCAATAAGCAGAGAATTACCGCAGCAAGGTCGCTTTTTCACTTGGCAGTAATGGCAGTATACATTCACCATCTGTATTGCCTCAGGTCTTTATCATCTCTGGTTCTGCTTCTATCTAGACCCTAAATATACCACACTCTGTGGTAGACAGGATAATCCTCCCAAGGATGTCCATGTTCTAATCCCAAGAATCTGTGAATATTAAATTACATGGCAAATTGTAATTGAGAATTAAGGTTGCTGTTCAACTGACCTTAAAATACAGAGATTATTCTGGATTATCTGTAATCTAAATTCAATCACAAGGAACTTTACATGTAGAAGAGGGGACGGGAACTCAATCCAATGTTCTTGGCTTTAAAGATGGAATAAAGGACTCACAAACCAAAGAATGCAAACAGGCATTAGAATTTGGAAAAGGCAAGAAAACAGATTTTCTACGACAGCCTCTAGAATGAACAGAGCAATGCCAGCCCCTTGATTTTAGCCCAATGAAACCAATTTTATAGAACTGTAAGATAATAAATTTGTATTGCATCATTAACGTTATGGTAACTTGTTACTGCAACAATAGGAAAAAATATACCATCTAAGATAAAATCATTCTGGAGATTATATTCATAAAATCATGCCTATAAGATCTGAACTAGCAGGTATATCAGATGCCTTGGTAAGAAGCAGGTATGCCAAAGTTTTTATTACGCACACACCATGCAAAAGAAAAATCCATCTACAGTGGTCTAGAAGAAATGGTAAAACTCCTCCATAATTAATGGCAAGAAGCACAACACTTGGTAAACCACTTTGGATTTTGGAGGCAACACACATAACATAACTGTGTTGCTTTGACCATTTTACTGAAAAATCATAGGCTGCCAGCTTTGTAAGATGCCAGAGTAAAAGAAAACTCCTCAGCTGACTAAAGCTACTGTGCAGGCAGTTCTACCATTTTTCATTTATGACCAAGGGAAACTACAGTACACTAAGGATCTGTGGCAGATGTAAATGCTGAATTGAGCCTGTATTAAGCCCCACTGGGAGAACCTCAGTAAATGTTCCTGAGGTTTTGAAGCAGACATGTCCTCATTGGCATATGTAGTGGTTTGAATGATGACTGACCCCACCCCCTACACACACACACACACACACACACACACATAAAGACATGTCCACTCAGAATCTGTGGAGGTAACCTTATTTGGAAAAAGTGTCTTTGAAAGGTGTGGTTAGCTAAGGATCTTGAAGTAAGACCATTCCAGATTAGGGTGTATCCTGTAAGTAAGAGAAGACACAAGAGAGACAGTGATATGAAGACAGAGGCAGATACTGAAGTAACATGTCTACAAGACAAGAAATACTAAGGATTTCTGGCAGCCACCAAATCTAGGAAAGAGGCATGAAAGAGATTCTCCATCATAGTTTCCAAAAGGAATCAATATCTTGATTTTGGATTTCTGGCCTCCAGAAGTATAAGAAAGCACATTTCTGTTATTTTAAACCTCCTAGTTTGTGGTACTTCGTATGGCAGCCACAACAAATTAATATAAGTATACAAGTATATTTATTTTATGCATGTTTCTAGCTCACAACTGGACTCTGATAGAGGTTAAAATTCAGACCATGTGATACTATAGATCTTGCAACCTGAGCCCCTCTTCACAGACAGACATAATTAGACACAGCTGGTTTCTCAGGTCACTGTGCATTAGGAAAGAAAGATGAAAGAGGGGTAGCCACTCTTAGTTGCCTTGATCCCAAAGGAACAGATCCTTTCTTCTCAACCCCTTGAGCAAGAGCTACTTGAATTGACCCAATTTAATGGAAAAGGGACAAAAAATGTATGCAAAAACCGTGAGCACTAGGAGCTTTGTCACATAAAAGGATGGGGAAACTATATTTACAACAAATATTAATCTAAGAAAAGTTGATGTAGTTAACAGCACAAATAAAATTTAAGGGGCAAAATCATTATTAGAAACAGAAGCAGGATACAGTTAATAAAAAAATAAACCAGAATGAATGAAAAAAAAAAGAAGAAGAAGAAGAAGAAAAAATTGGAATGCTACCTCACACCATATACAAAAATTAGCTCAAAATGGATCATTGACCATTCCGAGTTCATACTGCTGACCTGTGCCTGGTCTACTGCAGCAATCCTGGCTATCCACCTTCCTGGCTCTGGAATGCCAAAGGACCTCATCAAGTGGTCTAGTCCCTTGAGCCTGCCGGAAGTGGACAAGCAGCCACAGCAGCTGATGCAGATCAAATACACTGGAGCAGAGACTGATGAGCTGGAAAAAAATGCTTACACCTACTCAGGTTAAAAACTGGCCCACCAGTATTGCATGGGATGGCCTTGAACCAGGTAAACTCTATACTTTGGTCTTGACAGACCCAAATTCTCCCAGCAGGATAGGCCCAGAATATAGAAAATAGCACCATTTTCTGGTGGTCCAATTATGTGGGCTTTGGGCCTCCCAAGGGCACAGGCCTTTACCATATGCCTGGCTAGTTTATAAGTATGACAGGCTGTTGAAGTATGAAAAGCCCACTCTCAGCAACCAATCTGGACACCACCATGGCAAATCTTTCCACAAAAAATAGGATCTTAGGTCCCCAGCAGCTGGCACATGTTACCAGGCAGAAAGGGATGACTATGTGCCCAAGCTCTGAGAACAGCTGTCTGGGAAGTAGGAGAAAGCCAGGAGGCAGAAATCACCCAGGGAGCCCAAAGCAATATTTTCAAGTTCAGTGATGTATGTAGATTTCTCCTCTTCCCTGTTCCCACTCTCACAGGCAACACATGAGCAGACAGGGGTTTAGGGTGAGTTTCCCTTCTACAAAGACTGGTTTATGATTCGATAAAATTTTAACTACATTTTGGGGGATATTTTGGTACTATGATGGGGTGATCAGTTGTTAATATAAAAATAGCAACTCATAATCTAAAGAAGAAATTTTAGGTAAAAAGATCAGGTCTATAGTAATACAGCAGAGTACCAAAAAAATGTTTAATGGAGTTAAAAAAAAAAAAAAAAAAAAAGATTCTTGCCTCTGCCTTTGTGAGCCAAGTCCAGAATTATGCATGATAGCACATTCTGAGATGTATTCTCACGGCCCTGTCTCTCACCAGACAACCAAAAGATGATGACATGTGCACTAACCCCCAATATGGTACACCTTGCTATGTGTCAGTATCCCACTCTTGTTCCTTTAAAGATCAGTACTAAAAAAAGCAATAGGAAGAGTTGCTTTTCTGTGGAAGCACAGCTGTCTCGCTTACCTACAGGCTGGGTAAGAGGCTATCAGAAATTCTAAAGTCTCTGCCTGTTCTATTGATCACTCTTCATTGGTGTAAGAAAAGCTGGTCTGGAGTTGCTGAATGTCATGTTAATTCTGCTATTTGCTTATTCTCAAAAAAAAGCAAAACAGCCCTGGCTGATGTGGCTCAGTGCTTAGAGTGTCAGCTGGCACACTGAAGGGTCACGGGTTCAATTCCTGGTCAAGGGAACATACCTGGGTTGCAGGTTCCATCCCAGGCTCCAGTAGGGGGCACGTGTGGGAGGCAAACAATCAATGTGTCTCTCTCTTATCAGTGTTTCTCTCTCTCTCTCTCTCTCTCTCTCCCTCCCTCCCTCCCTCCCTCCCTCCCTCCCTCCCTTTCCACCTACCTTCCACTCTCTTTAAGAAGCAATGGGAAAAATATCTTCGGGTGAGGTTTAACAAAAAAAGTAAAGACATTATGTGGACAAAAAAAGATGGATCAATAGCAAAAATATTAAGAGGTAAAAAATAAAATTCTTAAAAGAAAAAACAGGAGTAAACCTTCATGACCTTAGATTGGCAATGGATTCTCAGAAATGACACCGAGAACATGAGTAAGAAAAGAAAAAACAGATATATTAGGCTTCATCAAAATTAAAAACTTCTGTGAGTCAAAGAACACTCACAAGAGAGTATATATATGCAACGTACAAAATGAGAGAAAATATTTGCAAATAATTTTTCTGAAAAAGATCTAGTATCAAGAACACTAAGAAAAACACAACTCAAAAACAAAAAGAACAACCCAATTTTAGAAATGAGCAAAGAACTTGAATACTTATTTCTTTAAAGAAGATATACAAATGTCCAATAAATATATGAAAAGATAAGCAACAACATTTATCATTAGGGGAATGCAAACCAAAGCCATGTCAAACCCATTAGGAAGACTATTATCATGAAAAAAAAATTAAAAGAAGTAAAAATAACATGTGTTGGCAATAATGTGGAGAAATTAGAACCTCTGTGCATGGCTAGTAAGAATGTAAAATTGTGCAGCTGGAAAATAATGTGATAGCGCCTCAAAATATTAAATATAGAAATAGAAATAGAATTTTCTATTTTTAATATTCATATCCATACTCATATCCAGAAATTCCACTTTTGTGTATATACCCAAAAGATCTAAAAAGAAGGACTCAAAACAGGTACTTGTACATTCACATTCATAACAGTATTATTCATACTAGCCAAAAAGTAAAAGTAACCCAAATATCCAATCAACAGATGAATAAACAAAATGAAATATATATTTTTAT